GTATGACCACTGGTATGGTTGGTGTCAGTGCAAAGTCTGGAAAATATCTCAAAGACCATTCTTAGGTTTTACGATAGTGATGTTCTATAGAAGTAATTAGGGAAGTTACAAATCTTATAACAACCAAGGATATGTGACTCCTAAGCAATAAGTAATTATAGGAAGGCAAGCTATAAAACAATGGCTGGCTAATTTGTAGCTATGCCTATACTTCTGTAGAAATCAGACTTCTACAACAGTTCTTACCTTATGGCCCTACATAACTTTAATATAGGCTTTAATATAGTATCATCATGCTATAATTTCAGCCCAAATATGAGACCATTATGTCTCATTAATACTTCTAAATATCAACAATTAGCAAAGAAAGAAAAAGGTAATTTAATATAGCAAAATATTGCACAGAGAGATTATATGCAGAGAATTCCCTTATTTTTCTAAGACCTTATCAGCATCACCCCATGAACAAAGAAAATTTTTCAAGGCTTCATGTTTAGAATTTGTTTTTGTAGTAACGGTATTTTCATTCCATCCTCTGATCCTCCAGTGATCTGCAGTTTCTTTCTAACTTTCTTTGCCTTGTTTCCACTTTTGCATTGTGAAAATGTTCATATTTTAAGTTCTTTGAGAGATGCCCTGAACTTTCCAGAAAAAGAGAACTACAAAGGTCTAACTTTCAAAATAATGTGACAATCTGCTAGAAATTACCCATCCATGTATTGAAAGAACTGGTAGAAAAGTAAGAAAGCAGTAGAGAGATGCTGCTCTTTGCCTCCCCACCCCCTTTGTTTCTGCAGCCCCTCTGCCTGGAGATTGAACACCCCCACTGACATTGTCAACAAAGCTATTATTCCACTCATCGGTCAATACATGTTCATTTTCTGCTGAATGCCTGAGGAATTGATGCATTGTGTGCTGATCTCTTTCTTGGGTTCATATTCTCAGGGACAATAATGCTTGATCTGTATTATGCACATCGCTGTTTATGAGGCAGGGGAGAATTAAATCATAATGTACCTGCATGAAAACTCGGATTCAAAGGAGCAAATAAAAAATGATTGGCATCTGTTTCTTGGGGGAAAAAATGAGGACTGGTCACTTCAATCTTCTAAGAAAAAGTAGATTTCTTGCTTTTCTTCATGAAAAACCTCTGCCTGCCAGCCAATGGTGAAACAACATTGGTCGCCAACATGATGACCAATGGTGAAACAAGGAGTCAAATGTACCACACCTCCAAATCAGAAAGTTACCCATTCAAGAGACACAGTTCTCTAAATGTGTAATTATCAGCCCCTGGAGGAAAGAACAAGTTTATTCAAAACACATGAATATTTTGGGAAGCATGGGAAGCATCTCTATAACTTCAATTAAAGTATTTTGCTAAGAATTAAAATGTTTAATAGTAACATATATTTAAATTAATTCTAGTTCTTAAAATGTTTAATTCTAGCCCTAATTTTCCCAATTCCAGTCACTTTCTTTGAAGGATTTCCTCTAAACACTACCTTGGAGAAGTGATTAATGTCATTATACACTGATTGTTTATTTCCTGCATATTTTCTTTGCACACAATATATAGTTATTTTTGTGTTCTCTTGCACAGTTGTTTTGCATTTTGTCTCTAGTTTCATGAATGCCTAAAGGCATAATAATATCTAACTCAATGGGTTGCTGTGAGTTTATGTGAAAGAACATATGTTGAGTCCCACCTCCTCGTCCTGTTACAGTTCTTCAGATGCAAAGGAAATTGGATACTTGGAAGAGAGATAAGTTTGCATAATTTACTTAGCCTCGCAACCATTAAGGAGGAACTCCCTATGAGTTCCCTCTAAGTATCTAGAGAATTTCTCTAGGTACCGGTTCATAATAGTAGCTAGTGAGCCATAGGAGGCTGAGGTCCTGCCCAGGCTGAAGTTGAGGATACGAGTAAAGATACGAGTTTAAATGAATGTGGTGAATTTCACTACTCCTGATTGTTTTACTGTCTTGTGTTTGTTTAATTAATCAGTGCTTCTTGCTTGTCTTCTGGAGCCATCTGAATTTGAAATTCCCTTCGAGAGTCCTGACTTGTTCAAAAATATATTATAGTTTGAGATGTCAGAATACTTCCAACAAACTCCAAAGTCCACGTTGTTCTTCTTTTTCTTCAAACTCCACTTTACACCTCTATATGTTTGCTCTCCTAAGCTAAAATATGTGCACTATGAGGACAAGTTTCACTTTTCTTTTCCTAAACATTTGGTACAGTAGTGGAGATAATTATACTAATTTCATACTGTCACATTTTGGGAATTTATAGATCATGTTAATATGTACTCTTTTATGAGAAGTAGACTATGGTTTGGAGAGTGAGCTTTCAAGTAAAAATCCTTTGGTTCTAAGAGACTAAGTAATAGCAATGCAATTTGGCCAGACAATGCATGAAGATAGAACTCTGGCCCACAACCTGGAGCAACCAGCCTAAGAAGCCAAACCAGAACCTCTGCAGCAATCAGTCCCAACCAGTCAGGACTTGATAAATCACTGTTAACTTCCCTAATTTTTGTCCCCATTTCCAACTTTGGACCTACCAGAGAAAGCCAAACATATACCACTAACCAATCACGTAAGCTATTCCTCTTCTAGGTAGCCTTCCCCATGCGAAAGTCCTCCAGTCAGAGCATATTTAAAACTTTCCCTTTTCTTCCTCTACAAAACTTTCCAACTCCCATGTCTGTCTTTGAGTCTCTGCCGACTACAACTGATGATGGCTAAGTCCCTTGCTATAGCAAGCTCTGAATAAATACCTTTTGCTTGTTCTCATTTGGGTGGTCTTTGTTTATCTTCACAGTTCAAATCTTATTACTTTCACTTATTAGTTATATAACTTTGGGCATGTTTCTTAACTTGCTTGAGTCTTTGTTTCTTCATTATAAATGGAGATTCTAGTTGTACCTACCATGTAGAATTAAATCAGTAAATAAAACCCATGAAAAACTTGAAAAAAGGTCTCATATATTGTAAACCCATAATATTTTTCAGTATTTTAATTCATTATAATTATTTTTAGATTCAGGAAACAAACTAAAGAAGTTAAGAACTTGCTTGAAGTTCACAGAAAATAACTGAGTTGGGTGAAAACTCTATACTGGGTTGAAGTCCAGTACTCTCTTTCCTACTTCAAGTCCCCTCTATTTTGAATGCATAATACAACCAGCAAATATTTTCTAAATGAATGCATGACAGAATAAGTAAATGAGTGAGAGACTGAATTGTTACATAAGTTGCAAATGCAACTATGGGTAATGGGAGAAATCATTCAATCAACCAAAAAATGTATGTGTCCAGAACCATGTTAAATCTTGTAAGGAGATGAAATTATTTCAGAACTAGAAAGTATATTAGCAATCATTTAGTCCAGTGGTTTTCAAAGTTTTACAAACTTCACAATGATAGAAATTCAAAAGGGCAATATATCAACAGTAACATATAAATAGGAACAAAGTTAAACTAGACTTCAGTCCTAGGTCCTTTTAGTTTGGAAATGAAAAACAGAAATTTCCAATTCTTTGTTGAGCTTAATTCTTCCTATAAATATTGTTTGTGAACAATCCTCTACATCAACTGTAATTTTCAGAAAATGGATAAATCAAGATCAAAAATAAGAAGTCACTAAAACACTTTAATAAGACTCATTTGTTTTAGTTTGGATTTCCTCTGAAGTAGACCTTGAAACAAGAATTTGTATACAAATAGTTTATTTGAGAGACAAACGTAGAGAATACATGAAGTAGTGGGAAGTGAGATAGGGAAGAGAGGAGAGTCAATAAAAGGTGTGTTGATAAATACATCACTGCCATGGGCAACAGGGGTTCAATAAAGTGGGGGCACGTTCCTCTGAGGTGTGGGTTGAGGTGGTAACTCCCACACACTTCTTGCTAGTATTTCTTACAGACCAGAGACTGGTGGCAAAAGAATGTCTCTAGTCAGAGAGAGACAGGAAGTGTTAGGTGTTCTTGGCAATTGTCTACAGGTGACCTCCAACGTGAGCCAAGAGGCTATGACCAGGAAAAGGCAATGTCTACCACACAAAGGCTTACCTTGAAAAAAACACTCATTAGGATAAAAATTTGTTTTAGCTTTGGATCTTTGTTAAAATTAGTGACATTATCAAAGGCAAATGATAAACTGGAGAAAATATAAATATGGCAAACAATAAATTTTATCCTTCATATAAATTATGCAGAAGGAAAGAGCTAAGAAGAAAAAGAGCCTGATAAAGAAGTAAGTAGAAGTCAATAATAGCTAATTTATAAAGGATAGAATAAGATATGGTAAAAACACTGGGGCTGAGGGCTGTTCATTCTATTAATCTAAGATAGTTTATGAGAACTGAGATCTCGCCTTTTCACATATTCTACCAAGGATATAGAAAGGAGACTCATACACAATGCTGATGGGTACAAATTCCTTTTGAAAAGCACTTTGTCTGTCTATGTCATGGGCTTTAAAGTTGTTCTTTCCATTTGAGTCAGTTATTTCACTTATGAAAGTACATCCCAGGGGAAAAATGCACTTTTTCTTTGAAGCATTTGAAAGAGTTTAAAACAATAAATATCTACATGGACAATATGATGTTGATGGCTAAATATACCATATATCCATATGAAGTATATAATGTAAACATTTTGCAAGGAGTTTTCATCAGCATGGTGCATTAATCTCATGTTTGAAAGAAATAAGGTTTTCCCAGAACACACAAAACCTATAATATAACAGTTAAGGTGCACTATGTCCTAAGTTCTTTCTTGCATTCGAACTTATTCAGTCCTCCCAAGTACCCTGTGATGTATATTCTTATCATCCCCTTTAAAGATGAATCAACTAGATCACTGAGACATCGATTAAGTACGTTATCCAAGGTTTCATAGCTAGTAAATGCTGAAATTAGGATTCAGACTCAGGCCAACTAGGTGCAAAGCCTGCAAGACTCAAAACCATTCCTCTACCACTTTTCACAGGAGGCTCTTGAAAGGATAAACTGAACTTGAGATCCTGCCAGGCCCTAAGCAGCTGAAGGCGCTTGTACAGATGGTCCCTCACTTATGATGGTTTGATTTACAATTTTTCATCTTTATGATGGTGTGAAAGTGATATGCATTCAGTAGAAATTATACTTCTAGCACCCATACAAATATTCTGTTTTTCACTTGCAGTACCGTATTCAATAAATTACTTGGGATATTTGACACTGTATTATAAAATAGGCTTTGTGTTAGACAATTTTACCCAACTGTGGTCTAAGGTAAGTGTTCTGAGCATGTTTAAGGTAGAATAAGATAAGCTATGATGTTTGGTAGGTTAGGTGTATTAAATGGAAATTTAAAAGTATATTTATATTAAATACAAACCTTAAATTTCTGAATTATATTTTTAACTTATCAGGACATAACCCCATTATAAGTCAAGGAGCATCTATAATTCTTTTGCTGCATATTGTTTCCCACTTCTCCTCCTCACCCTTTCCCTCTTTCCCTCTCCCTATCCCTTTCTCTTTCTCTTCATTGGCCCATTGTGCAGAGACCTCTTTTGCAGAAAGGACTGTAGGGTACCAGAAATTTCATGGACAAGACACTTTTTAAATGTATCCACTTTAGGTTTAATTCATGCCCAATCCTAAATAAATCTAATTTAGAGTTCTCTGAACTAAGAACTTCAACCTAGAGAGGTGTCATGGCTATTATTAATATTTATTAATGATATTAATACCATCAATGACAATAAGTTTAAGGTTTCATGATTGCAATGATTTACAAACAACCTCATATGATCATTATATTAATAATAAACTTATGAAGCATGTACAGTAGACATTAAATTCCCATCTTTTACACGAAGAAGATGAGAATGAGAGAGGTTTACAGTAACACAGTTCTTATAAGATTGATCAGACAGACATGGATTCAAATCCCACATTCTTACCTGCTAGCTAAATAACCTTTCTTCTAAGTTCTCCTCCATAAATGTGAACATTCACAGCACAGACCCCATGGGTTATTATGAGATTTAAACAAGATAATGCAGAAATTCTAGCAACAAAACTATTGTTTTTTATTCCTTTTGTTATTTATACATCTAAAAAGGTATTAGGATCTCTACTATAGTGCTAGTAAATAGTAAACTCTCTATGATCCTTAGCTAATACTACCACTTTTAAAAGTAGAAAATAATAACTTATTTCCTTGACTCAGAGATACCCCTATAAGAAAGAACTCACTGCCTAGCAACAAGGGGTGTGATTAGCTAAAAATCTTCATTTATTAATTTCTTCAGGATCTGCCTTAGCTTTTAAGTCAAGGTCATACTCTTCTTGGGGGAAAACCCAGCCAAGGACCAAGCAAGTCAATGATAGCTGAGGTCAGCTTTTCTCAGAGCATCCCTCAGCCAATAACTGAGCAAGGCAATAGTACAATGGTCATGACTTAATTATTTGTACCCAAGGTAGGACTTCTCTAATGTATGTCTTTTTTTCTAGAGCTCTCATTGGACTGGGAGAGTCTTTATCATGTCTACCTCCCAATCTGATGGCCTGGATTGCCTAATATTGCTTTGGCTTTTGTTCTTTCATAGGTCTTTACACCTAACCACATCTCCACATGTACTTCCTAGAAAACACAATCAGCTTACAGCTTAATGCAGGTAGTAAAGGATGAGTTCAGGTCAAGGTTTCTTGACTTCCATACTATTGACATTTTGAGCCAGATAGTTTTTTGTTGTGGGATCTGTTCTGTGTTTCAAGGGTGTTTAGCAATATTGTGGGCATCAACCCTACCAGTAGCAACCATCCCTGCCAGTTCTTACAACCCAAAATGTTTCTGGGTGTTGCCATGTGCCTTCCAGTGGAAGAAGACCACTTATTTAGGCAAATCCTTTCACTTTACCAGTTAAAAAACTCGAACCCAAATGGTTGACTTTAGTTGTCTAGCTCATAGATTGCTAAACTAAAGGCAGAAATGTATATTGAACACAAGTTTCTACTTGTCTTAATCAGTTCGGGCTGCTATAAAAAAGTACCATAGATGGGGTGGCTTGTAAATAACATAAATTTATTTCTCTAAAGTCTGGAGGCTGAAAGTTTAAGATAAGAGTGCCAGAATGATCAGGTTCTGTTGAGAGGCTCCTCCTGGATTCTAGATTATTGACATCTCATTGTATTCTTGCAAGGTGGAAAGAAAGGGAGGTAGCTCTCTGGCATCTTCGTACAAAAGCATTTATCCCATTAATGAGGGCTCTGCTCTCATGACCTTACTACCTCTCAAAGGTCTTACCTCCAAGGACCGTCACATTAGGGATTAGAGCTCAACATATGAATTTGGGGGGAAGACAAACATTCAGTCCGGAACACTGCTATTTCTTATTCAGGGTTCTTTTTGCATTTTTGATTGGAAAAATAAAACAGAACTACAAGAAAAATACCATCATCCTGTATTTTCAGACTGGACTAGCCTTAGGTGAAAAATTTCAGAGCAAAAATATCATTCTATGTTCTTTTTCTTATTTACATCTCCGTGAAGAAGGTGCTGTAACCTCTACCTCATCCCAGCCCTGAAAACGATGAAGTTCTTCCATCACCTGGGTTGCATATTTAGATTGCTTCTGCTTATTTGGTTCCTTATGGAAACACTTGAAAGTCATTGTGGTTCATTATGTGTGAAACTGCAAATTGGTCTCCCACCAATCAAACAGTTTTCCTAAATCTCTGTCCTGTGCAGATTGGCCTTCTATATAACCTTCTGTGTCATCTCTTGTAAAAAAGTTTTCCACAGCATTTCACTCCCCTGACCTCTCCACTGAAATGCGGGCATTTTGTGGTCATGCAGCATCCATTCCGAGGCTACAGCACTCAGGCTCTCAGCCATCCCTATTATCTGATTTCTCCCTCTGCTCTGTGAACACCTTGTGCATGAAAGCTCAAGGCTTTCAACATTTGATGCCTAATTCCTGAATTCTTAACTCAGTAAATATTTTTGGAATGAATGGATGCATGGCTGAACAAATAAAAGCTGTAGGATCACATTACCAGGTAAAGAATTATAAAAGGAAAAATAAGTCTTTTTCCTTGTTCTTTAGGAGTTTGCAGAATTCTTTATCATGCCCTTGACTACATCACAGGCTAAGCTAACAAGGAAGGACCTTGAAACAGTCCTGTAGAAATCAGCTACCTTTGCAAATCAGGTCAGGCGTTCAGTTGCACGCTCATCTAACTGCTGTGTGGGCAGCTCTGTGTGATAACATCCAACCTTAGCAGTAGCTCAATTTTACCTTCTGCTTTGAGATTTAAAAAACCTAAATGTGGGATAATGAATTTGTAATGCTGCATGGGATAATCTGTTGCAGAGTGACTGACAAAATAATTCAAATAATTTTCCTAAACTCTCATTCCATTCATTGCTAGGCATTATTATGGAACAATAGTGATTACAGTATCCTAAGGAAAAAAAAATCTGTAAAGCAGGACTGTTTGTATTTAAATAATGTTTATCCAGGTATTTATTATAATAAGATAATGATCTTACTGTGAATTAGCTATTAAGTGAGATGTTCTGGTTGTTTGTAAAGTTTAATTCTATGCCAGAAAATAATCTTGGGATGTAGTCACTGTAACAGCTAATGAATAAATATGAAGCTTATTTTCAAGCCATTTACACATTAGAAAATTTAGGTTTTAGCTCTCATTATTTTATCACATTCAATATAAAATTATAGACAGGCTTGGTCTTGATAAGTGAGATAATTTGCATGCATCAATCACAGCAAGAAAGACAAAGTTTTACATTTCTTATATATTAATAGTGATGCACAACTTGAGTTTTAGTTTGAAAGAGCAAAGGAATGTTTCTTTGGTACAATTAGTGTATATCTCATTACTTAAATAGCAATGCATATTTAATCAAACACTGTTAAGCAGCACTATTTACTTAGCACTGTGTTGAATGTTGGAGTGTAGGAGCATATAAATATTAAAATACAAACATGACCATCATAAGTGCTACATTCTCACTGAAAAGAGAACATATATACACATACACATTAAATAAATACAGAACTGTGTTCATTGATATTTTTATTTGAACCTGAAGATTTCTTGACTCTCAAAGGTCTATTCGGGATGGTAACATGGCACAATGGGTTTGGATTGAAACCCAGCTCCATCATTTGTTAGCTGTGTGACTTTAGGCATATTATTAATATGTAAATTCCCTAGCTCATTGGTTCTCAAATGTCTGTACTTGAGGGAATCTTTAAAAACCCTAATGCCCAGGCATCAGACTTTTTAAAATTTAGATGTCAAGCTTATTTCAATAAGCATCCAAGCTTGAGAATGATTAATGAAGATCACTATTTCTCAAACTGTAATTTGGATACCAATTGACTTGTTAGCTAGGGAAAGTGCAGGTTCTCATTTAGGGAATCCGGCATGCAGCCTGAGATTTTGCGCTTCCAGCAGGTGATGTTAAAGCTGCTGGCCTGTGGCCTATACTTTAAGTGGCAAAGTTTTAGCCTATAATTTTGTCTTATTTAAACTGGACATGCAACACTAGTCTTCAGGTACTGTGTCAATCACATGGCAAGTGTACCCTATAATAGCTATAGGTATAATAGGGATTTCAACTCAACTTCCCTCAAACTATTCACATAATTAAGGAGACTTATCTCTTCTAGAAGAGATTATATCTGATGTTTTCAAAAACTATTTTAAATCTCTTAAATTTTCCTCTTAATTAGGAAAAGGCTGCTCATCATTCCAGCCCCTGAAGCTTGTACAACCATTTCAGTTCATAGTTATCTTTCCCTAGCTCCATAGTCTGGACTCTGGCTGCATATTAGAACCATCCTGTCTCTACCAACAAGAAAAAGAAAATATATAGAATCACCTGGGAAAATTTCACAGCACACTCAACGTGTGGGCTGCCCCCAGACAGATTAGTCAGTATCTCTGGGGGTGAAGCTAGGCATCAGCACATTTTAAAAGTTGGCCAGGTGCTTCCAACATACGGCCATGATTGTGCACCACTGTTCCACCTGTCTCTGCATTCCATTAGCACACAGT